GCCGGGCCACACGCGCCCCTGGCTGCGCCGCAGAGCAGGGAGGGCTCCGGGCAGGCGGCCAGCAGCCCGCTGGCGCCCCCACTACGCCCAGCCTCCATCTCTGACCCGAGGGGCGCCTGAGGACCCACGAAGGTCCCCAGTGGGAGCCGCTCAGGGGAAGACGCAGTCGCAGGTCCCTGTCGGGCTCCATCGCTGAGCTCCTTCCCCAGGCGGCCTGCTCCAGGTTCAAGGCAATAAATCCACTTTTCTATTTCAGTGGTTCCCACACCTGTGTCTCTAGCACACACCTGCCCTGGATGACCTTTTAGGGACCTCAGCCAGGGCCATCAATGATATCAGGGCCCAGAGAGAACTTCTCATTTCCTACCTCAAACCTATTTTCCCCAACTTAGGCAATGAGAAAAATATATATTAAAAAATATCCACTGGCACACACAGAACATACTGATGGTTTCCAGAGGGGAGGGGAATTGGGAGACGGGGTGGAAAAGGTGAAGGGATTAACAAGTACAAATTGGTAGTTACAGGCCCCGGCTGGGTAGCTCAGTTGGTTAGAGCCTTGTCCCCACAGGCAAGGTTCCCTCCCACTGGTCAGGGCACATACAAGGGCAACCAATTAATGAATAAATAAGTGAAACAACAAATTGATGTTTCTATCTCCCTCTCTCTAAATCAATCAAAAAATTCAAATTGGTAGTTACAAAGTAGTCACAGGATGTAAAGTACAGCCCAGGAAATAGAGTCAATAATATTGTAATAAGTATGTATGGTCAGGTGGGTACTGGAAATATCTGGGAAACACTGTGAAGTATATGATTGTCTAACCACTATGCAGCCCACCTGAAACCAATATTGAATGTAAACTGCAATTTTTATTTTATTCATTTTATTTTTTAATTAATTATTTTTATCTTCACCTGAGTACACTTTTCCCACAGCTTTTTCAGAGAGAGTGGGGGAGAGAGAGAAACATCGATGTGAAAGAGACACATCAATTGGCTGCCTCCCCCACTCACCCCGACCTGGGCTGTGGATTGAGCCTGCAGCCAAGGTACATGCCCTTGACGGGAACTGAACCCAGGACCCTTCAGTCCGAGGGCTGATGCACTAACCACTGAGAAAAACTGGCTAGGGCATAAAGTGTAATTTTTTTAAAAATTCACTGGTTCAGTGCACTTTACTCCCANAACTGGCTAGGGCATAAAGTGTAATTTTTTTAAAAATTCACTGGTTCAGTGCACTTTATTCCCAATTCCACTACCTACTTTTCTCCATTTCTGCAGCTACTAACCCCCCCCCCCTCCAGCTCTCACTTGGACACTGTGGCTGGAGGAGCCTCTCTGGTGTCACTTCACTCTTGCCCCACAGTTTACACATCCCACTGAAGTTTCTGCTTTACAATAGTTGAGATGTACGAAAATTGCAAAGATAGTATAGAGAATTCCCATATACCCAGACCCAGTGTGCCCTGGGAAATGTTAACATTTCAATTACTGTGGTACATTTGTCACAGCTAATGAGCCAATATTGGTATCTTCTTATTTTATTAACTAAACAGCACGATTTACTCAGATTTCATTAGTTTTCCCCAAAGTCCTTTTTCTCTCCTCAGATCCCATCCAGGATCCCACAGGGCATTGAGTCATTACAACTCCTCAGGCACCTCTGGGCTGTGCCAATTTCTCAGGCTTTCCTTGATTTTGAAGACCTTGACAGTTTTGAGAAGTACTTGTCAGACATTCTGTAGGCTGTCCTTCAATTTGGGTTTGTCTGATGTTTTTCTCATGGTTTCCCTGGGGTTCTGGGAGAAGACCCCCAAGGAGAAGTGCCCTCTCATCCCCTCATATCCAGGGTACACAGAAGCCAAATGAGTTATTCATAGGAACCTTGATCACCTGGCTGAGGCGGTGCTGGTCAGCTTTCCCCACCGTCCAGTGACCTCCCTTGCCCTACACGCTGTCCTCGGGGAAGCCAGTCACTAAGGGTACCCACACTGAAGGGATGGGAGTGATGCCACACCTCCTTGGGGGAGCTTCTATAAAAAGCTGAATCAGGTCCTGCCATCCTCCACTGCTATAAAATGCAAGAAGCTCCCTAAAAACTCCAACCCCTTACCCTGCTTTACCCTAACTCAAGAATGCCCCCCGCCTGCCTCTCAGTCCGCTCTCCTTCCAACCTCTCCCTGACCCAATCTGCTCAAATCTGGGGCCCACCTTCAGGCTTTCCATCCCCACTGCCTGGGGCAAAGGAGGCTCTGCCCCCAAACGCCTGGTGAATGAATGAATGAGCGGGTCCCCCTTCTACGGAGGGGAACATGAAGGCTTGGAAGAGTAAGTAACCTGCCACGGCTCCAGTTAGGAAGCTGCAGAGCTGGGCTTCAACCCAGATCTCTCTGATGGGAGCCCAGGGAAGGTCCGCTGCCTGACCCCCACGTCTTACCGTCCTCTGTTTCCACATAGAGGCGGAGTCCCAGGTCCTTGTTACGGTTCAACAACCAGCGGTCACTGGCTGCTGTCGCGTCCAACACCAGCCAGCCCTCGTCCTCAGCTCGGAGCGTCTGAAGATCCAAAAAGAACAAGTCAGACTCCCTGTGGATACGAAAGAACAATTAACCGAAGCCGGCACCGCTGCCTTCGTGTTTCCAGTGCCCGCCTGGGAGCCGCTCGTGGGGTATCGACTGTATCTACCACAGAAAGGTGCTGCTGCCCCCGTGGACAGATGGGGAAACCGAGGCTTGGGAGCTCAGGGGCCCATCCAAGGTCCCACAGCCAGGACAGCAGGGAGGGGACTTGAAGCCAGGGTGCCAGGGCCTTGGGCCAAGCATCCTTCATCTCTGAGGGTGAGCTCCCAGGGGCTCCCCTTCTGTCCTCTGGGAAAGGCTCCCCCCAGAGCTGGGCCGGACACGCTGACAGGCTTGACCGGGAGGCAGGGCGTGGGCCAGGCACCTGTTGGCCCGCTCTCTGACCACCTCGAACATGCTGACGTGGAGGGTCCTGTTGAGAGGGTGGGTGCTGGGCAGCTTGTAGATCCGGAGCTCAGCAGCTGTGACCGCCTCCCCCGCCGGGATCTGAGTCAGGTCAAAGCGAAACTCCTTCCAGTGGGGCTCCTGGTGGCCCAGGGCGTGGTCGAGCTCCACTGCAAGACAAAGCAGGCTGGCGGTCATGCTGGTCCTGGGCTCAGGCTCCAGGGTGGCAGGGCCTGGTGGGAGCCAGGGCCTGGGCAGCCTGGGAGACGCATTTCCTCCCGGGGGAATGGGCTTGCCCACAGGCTCTGCCGGGTGCCTGGAGGGCCCCAGGAGCCCTGTAGTGAGGTGCCCAGCACAGCACCTGATACACAGCGGGGGTCAACAAGGGCAGCTTCCATTTCTGGCCCCCAGATCTCAAACCCGGCAGGTCCCAGCCCAGCCCCCTGCTGGCTATGAGACCCACAGATGAGGCAGAGAGGACAGGTCCCCCCTCTGGGGAGAGGAACTTCAAACTCAAGACAGAAGAGGCCACGTGGTGGGAGAGACATGACTGAGTACTCTTCAGGGTCTATCCATGTGTGTGGATGGGGCATGGGGGACAGTGAGCGCTCACAGCTGACATTGGGGTGACAGTGAACTTGCCACAAGGTCATAGGACAAGAGCATTGCAGAGAAAGGGACCAGTGTGAGTAAAGACCTAGAGCTGAGGGACTGACAGCACAGGCAGGAAAACAACCATAAAACACAGCAAAGGGCAAAAGGATGGCAGGTTCCGCTTGTAACAAGATGAAGGAGGAGGGAGGGCAGGAGGGAGAGATGGGAAGGAAAGAAGCAAGGAAGGAGTGACAGCTCCTGGAGAGGCCCAGTCAAGTGCTGGGGAAGTCGGAGGTCCCATGGCGTGGTGGGATCTGAGTGGGCTTCCTGGAGGAGGTGACGTCTGAACTTGCCTTAAATGATGGGATGGAGTCTTGGCAGGTGGAGAGGCAGCAGGGAGGACATTCAAGGCGGAGGGGACATCAAGTGCACAGGTTGAGTGGTTCAGGGCCCCCCACAGATCAGCGGGATGGGGCATGGGGGATGAGTCTGGCTGTGGCCTGACTGTGAAGGGTTAGAGCTCCCACCTAGGAGCACGGACTGTGGCTCTGGCCAGTGGGGGGCCAGGGTTCCGGGCAGCAGGGGAGCTGGTGGTTGGTGTGGTGTGGAAGCTGTGCGTGGGGGTGGGGGTAAAGCACAGGCTGGAGGAAGACCCGAGGTGGCCCCGTTGCGGGGGCAGGTCCAATACTTTGGGCAAGAGGCCACTTGTGCAGAATAAATCCCACATTGCCCAGCTGCCGGAAATGCCCAGGACAGTATATTTAGGGCCATCTCCCTTTAGCCTTCTGTCACTTTCAAACACTAAAAATCTGTGTTTCCGGAAAGCAGGGGCGGGAGCCACCCAGCACCTTCCCCAAAACCCGACACTGAGATTTTAATTACATGTCTGTGAGTCTTTTTAAAAATTCTCTCTCTGGCTACTAGGCTCTGTGACCACAAGTCACCCTGCTGGTGGCAGAGGCGGATGTGGGGAGCACTTCCTGTCCTCGTGGTGGGAACCTGGTCCGGCGATGGACGGGCAAACAGCTGTGCTGGGTGGGGCCAGCAGACACACGTTTGGGCAGGAGGAGATGAGTGTTTCGTCCCCAGACCAGGGAGAAGAAATAGAATGTCCATCATCAGGCCGCTGGACACACAGCAAATGCCCACGGGGAGCCAGGCTGCTTCAGAGACACAGGGTGGCATCAGGGTCCTCCTGCACAAGCAGAGAACCTAGAGGGCAGGGTTCTGCACAGGCAGGCAGGCAGACACACACACACACACACACACACACACACACACAACTTTGGTGACAATTCCCGTGGATTCAGGAACCACAGAGATCACCTCCACTACGTGGCTGCGTAAGATTCCCCGATCCGCAGGAGGGAATAAGTCCAGGCTGTTGGCTGTCACAGGGTGTGGCACAGAGAGTGAAGGCGAGTGATTCCCCCACACCCTTCATCAGACCCTCTCAAAGCATCGCTGTGTATCTATCCCCAGCATAGCAGGAGCTGACAGGTGGGTCATGGGGGCTCACTGGGAATCTTCTGTCTGCAGCCCTGACACTGATTTTCATGTTGGATCTGGAACTGACGGAACAACCCACAAACCTGCCAGCTCCACCCAGCACCAAACCATGCGGCCTCCCTCCCTTGCTGGGTCAAGAGCACTGTGTTCACCTGAACTGACTCTAGTCCCAAACTTCCGTCCTGTGAGTTTTGATAAACCACCCAGTAGCTCCAGCACAGGAAACTGCCCACCCTGGCTGTTCCAGGCAAGCACCAGAACATGGGACATTTTTAGGAAGATAATGCTTTAATCAGAAACTGATAAAACTTTCTGGGATCTAGCATTAAAGTAGACATTACTGTAACTGGCCAAAGGGAGTGACCCCCTACCCCCTTGCTGGAACTCTGTGGATGTAGCTTTTCAGAGGTTGCTCCTTTGGATTAGGGAAGACATTTCTTCTGAAAAGCTGAGTGAGGAACAGCATTTGTTGGGACCTGGAGTTACCCCATGGCAGTTCCTGGCAGGCCGCCCTGCTTTAAACCACGAAAACAGCACTGAGAAGTGTAGATGCTCTGGCCTGTAGCTGGAGCTTCTGATGCCAGCCCTGACCAAAACTTTCCCTGTGTGGGCTCAGTCTCCTCATCTGTGGAGTGGGGATACTAGGAGCTTGTCCACGTGGGGCTGTGAAAGGGCAGGCACTATGAGATAGGAGCCATGGCTATTCCTCAGAGTCAGGGATGAGAGCTGACCTCTAATTTCTGAACTTAATCGATGTATCAGAGTGATGACATCCTGCCAGCACCATCAGGAGTTTCATGTGTGAAACCCAAGAGCCGAGGGAGGGGGGGGCATTTTATTTCTTTTTCTGAAATATGAAATGAAAGATTATAGAACATCAAATGTATCAATTCAACCAAAAGGCATTTGTATGGCTTCAAGGTGCCCCCTTTTCACCTGCCTGGCATTTGTCAAGGCATCTGATCCTCAGGGCCTCAGTAGCCACATCTATAACATGACCACTTGATACCATGTCAGATGAAATGATAAAAAAACCACATTTGCTACAGTAGTTGGTACTCAGTGATGGTCCAGCAAGTGCTTCTAATACATTATCGAGGAACATTTCCTATCCAGCACCCCTTCATGCCCAGCTTCCACTTCCCCTATAACCAGGTCTGGAATCCCCCAAAGATGTCCTGGCTCGGAGAGGCAGCCCCTCAGCAACCCACAGGGGCCATCACCTAAGTTCTGGGTCAGGTGCAAAGCAGAAACTGACCCTTTCTTCATGAAAATGCTGAAGATTCCTCAACATCAAGCTCGAAGGACAGAGATCAACACACTCTCCTTGCACGTTCCCACAGGCCTGGGGACAGAATGCAGGAGTCCTCTGTGCGGGCTCCTTCCACTGCGCTGGGCCTCCCCTCACCGACTGATGCTGAAATCATGGTGGGCAAACCAAGTTGGACTTGGCCTGTCGCTGCTCCCCACCCTGCTGCTATTATCTGATGGTCCTCAGAGGGAATTTACGGGAAAAGCCAAGGTCCACACACGTGATTTCTTGGGGTTTCCCAGTAAAATTTTGCTGCCGGTTGTGGGGTTGGGAAGTTAATTCCCAGGTCCCCTGGCAGATTCAGACAGGCTGGGTGGGGGCAGGGGGTGCTCCTGGCCTGACTATGTTCTGGATCCCAGCCACCTGAGATATGTCCTGCCAGGAGTCCTTTCTCCGTGGTGACACTGGTGGGGGGTGGGAACCACTGGAGTTTGGAGCAAGGTTTCTGGGTAGTAAGTCATTTCCTCCATCTGCAAAATCTGGGGCAGGGATTGCTAATGGGTGGGGGTCACATACTCTCCCCTTGGGCAGGTGAGAGATGACTTCTGACTATGCTGCCTTCTCGTGCTCTGGAGGCTTTCTAAGAACACTCGCTTTTCCCCCGGTCAGATCCAGGAATATTAATGAACATTTGAAAGCAGTGCTTATTGAATGCAAGCCACTGTTAAGCACTGGGGAAACTGCAGACAGTCTGGACCAACCTGCCACCAGGGAGTGCATAGTGTCACGCGGAAGTCAGGTAGCAAACTAGAAAGTAAACAAACGAGATGATCCTGATGAGTGCTGTGAAGGATATCAAGACAGGGGTGGCACTGGGGAGAATGCAGGGAGGGTGTGTGGGAGTAATTTTATGTTGAAATAATTCTGCATTATTTATATTTAGAGAAAAGTTGTTAGAAGAATAGTACATAGACTCCCTATATATTCTTTGCCAGCTTCCCCTAAGAATAACATCTTACATAAGCAAACCATAGTATAATGATCAAAACCAGGAAATTGATATTGGTATAATACAATTAACTAAATACTGACTTTTCTTGAATTTTACCAGCTTTTCCACTAATGTTCCTTTTCTGTTCCAGGATCCAATCTAGGATCCCACATTGCATTTAGCTGTTAGATGTCCCTGGTCTACTCTGATCCATAACAACTGTCAAGTCTTTCCTTGACTTTCACGACCTTGACACTTTTGAAGAGCACTGGTTGGTTACTTGGTTGCATGTCCCTCCATGTGAGTTTATCTGGTGTGTTCTCATTAGATGAGATTGAAATTACGGATTTTGGAGAATACCACAGAAGTGATGTCCTCCTCTAAGTACATCAAACTGTAGAACAAAGCAAACAATTAATATGTTAATGTTGTTAGAACAGAGTTATTCAGTGAAAAAGAGAATAGAAATACAAAATTTAAGATTTAAATAAAAGCCTAAAATCCTAAATTTGAATTCGAAATATTAGTTTGAGGTCATGAGTTTTTCCCTCTTAGAAAATACACATTCCCTAGCTTTGTCCACTGAAAAAGCCTAGAAACCATGGCCAAGCAGGCGCAGCAGGAGCCTGACGCGAGTGCAGCCTCAGGGCGCCCACTCCACCGAGGCCCGGGCTCTGGACCGACCGATCGTTAGTGCCCTTTAGCTCCTCATCGCCTCATCATTAAACACTTTGCTTTGGACGGGATTTCTCATCCTTGGCATTGTCGACATTTTGGGCCAGATACTTCTTTGCTGTGGGACGGTCCTGAGTGTTGCAGATTAAGCAGCACCCCCATTCTCTGCCCATAAATGCCAGTGGCACTGCTTTCCTCTCCCCAGTTCTAACCACCAGAAATGTCTCCCGATAGTGCCAAATGTCTCCTGG